CTGTGCATAATCAAATGATTTATTCCTTTTGATAACCCACCACATATTTACCAAGCAACAATCAGACTGATTATGGTCATTTGAGTTTAGCAATTAGTATTATTAGTATTATTATCAATTGGTATCAGAGTGGCAGCCACAGGTCTTTATTTTAAAAAAAATTAAATTATGCGGCTTTTGTACAAAAGGGAAGGCTTTTTTACATAATAGTCTCGTAAGTCATCTTGCAAGTTCAGCTCACGTAGGGCTTGCTCTCCTCCATTCAAAACATTTATCTTTGGTCACTCTACAATAGAAAGACAACAAAATCACATTAAAAACGTCATACATAGTAATTTTAGCATTGTTACGCATATACGGCCTATGTACGCAATCCTAATGCATTAGTGATGATAGTTTTATTGATTTAAAGTGAATCTAATCTGATACTGCCCGTGGATTTTCTCAACACAACAAAACCAATAATTGACCTGAAGAATATTGCTAGATCAAGAGACTAATGCCAAAAAAATAACTATCCTGAATGAATTTCCTCAATCGTAAATCACCAACAGAATTAAAATAATTGTGTTGGTAGCTGAGCGCATTGTCAAATCAGCATTACAAGTGCGCAGGGAAATACGTCTCTTGATTGCATCATAACTAAATTGATAATATTTGTTTCTGTAAGAAACACTGATAACGTATTTTGGATAAAGATCACATGCAGACAGAAATTTTAGAACAGATGTATCTATATATAACAACAGTACATATTAACTAAAGCTCAGTGATAATGAGCACGATAGAAATCTACTAGACGTAATTACTTTCGATTGCAAACTAGTTGCCACTACCCTAAAAATATGATTAGATTATCTTGGCTTGGCTGTAGAGTGTCGTTATGGATAATCAGCAGAAGACTGTCGTTGGTTACTCGACATCTGCAATGATAAGTGGTTGATGCCTTCAGTGAGATTTCAACACAGGCTGACTAGTTTCTGATAGGTCAAACCTGTAAGACTGATATGCTGACATCGACTATTCACTGAGTAGTGATGCTATAAGCCTACAAAATGATATTATTTTCAAATGTTGTTGTTTTAAACACCACAAAGTAAACTAGAATGAGCGATCACTTTATCAAAAGAATTTTGTATAAAAAAATATGAAAGAAACCTGAATGATGAATCCAATCGAACAGAGAACACGAATAAAATAGGCGGGTTAAAGAAGGTTATTGATTCTAAACTAAACTCATAAAGTTTTATTTCAAAATGCATAATTTCACTTCAACATGAAACATGGAAAGATAAATCAATTTTGAAAAGAAACAAGAGCATTTATTTTAGTTAGATTATGCATTTTAAATATTATTATGTTTACTGGATTCTCTGTGCAAGGTAGTTGAAAACTTGAACTACTTACTTTCCTTTTTCTAGTAGGCTGAACAGAAATTCTGGCAATATAATAATGATAGTTATAATAAATATCAAAGCTATGCATTTAATATCTTTTAAAAAAATACTTCTCAAACCAACAATATTCAAAGTTGGCTCGCTAGATTAGAGTTTCCAATGCCGAAAAAAGTAGATGATTACCTGGTTAGAAAGTAATGTGAAAAAACGATAAAGTGATCTAACATTTTTAATGATAATTTGAAAAATACTTTAGCCACATAAAACTATTCTCTCATAAACCATTTCAATACGAAAAAAAAATAATGCGAAATCAATTACAGATCAATTTTAGATAAGCGATTTCTTTTCGTTCAAAAAAGCAAATATTGCGATTTTCTATTACTTTTTATCTGTGAAGAGCCATTTTTGCTTATTTTATGTGATATAGATCAAAAACAATTATTTTACGGGAGATTATTTTCAATGTACTGGTATATTTTGCAGAAAAATGCGCCAATGTTTGTTTATCAAAAACAAATCAATGAAATAGTGACGTCACACATTGGCTAATCGTAATTGTAATGCCAATATTATTTTGGTCGATGAAACGTTTATCGAATTTGGTGTGTGGAGATTGTCGGATGTTGCGGAAGTCGGTAATCAGCTTAATTTTGACAACCATTGAAAATGAGTGAGGATGAAACAGTTGTTTCATCCTGCCTGGTATGAGGAGATTCCGGAGCTGTTCGCATGCACGATTCCATAAATCTACGAACTCGCGTCACTCAGATTTCTCCTAAGGAGCATAACCTTGAGATCGCAAATGGAAATATTTTCGTAACCGGGTATAGAAGGTGACTGATAGGAACTTGCAAGAATTTCTTCATTATTTTCAATTAGAGTTATGGAGATTAGAGTTTTTACACATTTGAACTCATCAATCAATCATTGTTAGACCACCATTAGAAACCTGCAAGCCTTGGACGGCCATTTCGTCCTGGTATGGGACTTATGAGCAGTGCACATCCATTACTCTTGCACCTCACAGGATTCGAACCCAGGACCTTCAGTGGTGCGCACGAACGCCTAAACTCTGGACTACTGGGCGCAGAGGTTGATTGATGATTTCAAATGTGTAATTTCTTCATTATTTCAATCAGTTCAAACCGTCAATTTGTCTGTTTTATCTTCAACTATGATGAATAATGAATAATTTTATTTTTTGAGATAGCACACGATATATTTTTTCAACCGAAAAAAGTCAATTTTTTTTAACGACTACAAAAAATTTCATAAATTAATTTTCTATCAATTCCAGACAAATAATAACAGATTCCCAAATGAATTTAATCGCTTCACCTGCATTTAGAAAAAAATTAAATAAATAAATAAAAACGAAAATAAACTCATTTGTCTGAATCATAAAACCAAGATTTTTCAAAGTATCTTATAAACCCGACTAATATAGTTCAATAGATACTGGACTGTCAGTCAAACTGCTTTTCATCTTTATTTCATGGTTAGGGTTTGAAGAAATTTGTAAACGATACAAATAGAAAGTAAGCCTTTATGTAAACAGAAACGCTAAGAGAAATTTTAATATATTTTTACATAGACATTTGTGCGTGCGTCACTTCAAGAAATAGGTATCAATGATTATGCGAATCATCAAAGGGGTAAATCACACAGTACAGAATGGTTGTTTTTACATGTGAGAAATTTGTGGAGGTCAGCCCTAAAGACTAATATTTAATCAGAAAAATTTAATACCTTCATATGTTATGGTACATTTTCGTCGAGATCACTGACCAAACAATATACAAAGTGATCTTATTTGTACTGGTGGATATATCTTTATATGGATGTTAGCAGTAACAGTAGTAGTAGTAGTAGTAGTAGAGTGTTAGGTACACATTTTTAAGATATACTTTTAGAGGTAATCACTATGTGAGCTATCGCAAATTGACCACTCCTTCTCTGTACATTCTAGCATCTCATACACTCTTTCTGTTTGGATCTAAAATATATTCCCAATTATAATTCACTGTTCATAGTATTACAAGGCAATATTACTGGTTATTATTAACAACTTAGTAAATTATTTGAGCTGATAATATTTTTGTGTACTAAATCGTTTTGGCTTTTTTGCGATATAAATTGGCTAGACAGATATATGATTACATCTGAAGCCTGTATAAATGTAACTGAATGGTTATACTTTTTATCTGGTGACGCAACGATAAACTGATATAATTACCATGATTATTATTATTATTATTATTATTTAGAGAGGTTGTTACACATATCAACTCCTAATGTGTTTTCTGAAGTCTACCGAAATTGCCTTGTAAATATGCAAATTGTGGAATTATTAGTGAATTTAGATTGTTTATGCAAAACTTCTCGGTTTCCTATTCATTATGTATCTATTTTTTGACATTATCAATTACTGATATAGCCTTCAGTGTTAAATGTTCTTCTTCAGTTACTTTATTTTAAAATAAACTGAGTGTTTGTTAGACTGTTATTATCATGATTAAAAACGGACCACAATGAATCAACATTGTAAAGTAGTGAAAATCATCCTTCTAAATGCTCAAAGCCTTGACAGTTCTGTATTAAATAAACAAAATTATTTACCAATGATATTTTCTTCAGCCAAGATTTTACTAGATTGTGATGTTTACGTTTGTACTTCATCCTAAGTGAATTAATGCGTTATCACGTTAAACTTGAAGCATTTTAAATGAGAATTCAGTACTGGTAAACTAGGAAGTAATTTTAACATACTTCACTTGTAGGTCGTCATCTAAATAAATGTTATGGGTGGTTTTTTATTTTGATAAAATTTATCATCAATAAACCTTTTATGTTTTGCATCGCTTACCGACCACACTTACACTATGAAATTATCAATCTTTGCAGAATTTTTGCGATAAAGTAAATACTGAATAAATATTATTTATTTTAGAAAACACTATCGAATTCTAAATAAGTGATATTTGTATATTCAAAAAACTCATCATGTGTAAACAATAAATACAGTGTGATAATTATTAACAAGTATTCAATGATTGTTTGTAGTTGTTCAACGGTATTTAAAAATCTTATTACACTGTATGGTTAATCAAGTATGCATTTTATTTCCTAATGCGTTTTTCATTAAAATGGGTTCCTCGTCATCCAGTTCATATTGGTGGTCAAATCTTAACATTTAAAATAAAGAATGAACTGAAACATGAAAATAAACGGATAAAAAATATGAGATGAAAAAAAAGAGCTAGATGAAAGAACAAATTATGCCAGGAACTGAAAGCAAACACCAACCGAATAGATTACATTGAGCAATAATTTGATAGAAGGGCTCAAGACAGAATCCGTCAGACATTGCTTCGTCAAAGCCCATGATCAACAAGAGATAACAAGCTTAGATTAGTAACCAAAAAAATTGTGATGCTTAGGATATCTTATGCAATGCAGTAACAGTATCTGTTTAACAGAAGAGTTTGTGTTTAATAGCCTACAATTTGTATAGTCCTTCCTATAGAAACTAATAATCTGGTAAAGAATTTTACTGAAAGAGCAGAGAGTAGTAAATCAGTTCAGTTGGCAGTGTTACATTTACTTTAAGAATGCTAGTGATTGAATATTAATTATTTGTAAGAAGTAAATTTTTTGGGTAGCAATTTGTGTAATAGTAGTAGTAATAGTAATAGTAAAAATAGTAGTAGTTGTAGTAGTAGCAGTAGTAGTAGTAGTGTGAGTAGTAGTAGTAGTAGTAGTAGTAGTAGTAGTAGCAGTAGTAGTAGTAGTAGTAGTAGTAGTAGTAGTAGTAGTAGTAGTTGTAGTAGCAGTAGTAGTAGTAGTAGTAGTAGTAGTAGTAGTAGTAGTAGTAGTAGTTGTAGTAGCAGTAGTAGTAGTAGTAGTAGTAGTAGTAGCAGTAGTAGTAGTAGTAGTAGTAGTAGTAGTAGTAGCAGTAGTAGTAGTAGTAGTAGTAGTAGTAGTAGTAGTAGTAGTAGTAGTAGTAGCAGTAGTAGTAGTAGTAGTAGTAGTAGTAGCAGTAGTAGTAGTAGTAGTAGTAGTAGCAGTAGTAGTAGTAGTAGTAGTAGTAGTAGCAGTAGTAGTAGTAGTAGTAGTAGTAGTAGTAGTAGTAGTAGTAGTAGCAGTAGTAGTAGTAGTAGTAGTAGTAGTAGCAGTAGTAGTAGTAGTAGTAGTAGTAGTACTAGTAGTAGTAGTAGTAGTAGTAGTAGTAGTAGTAGTAGCAGTAGTAGTAGTAGTAGTAGTAGTAGTAGTAGTAGTAGTAGTAGTAGTAGTAGTAGTAGTAGTAAAATTTCATAATAACACAAATAATCTAGTGAACTGTAATGCTGAATCAATCGTAAAAGCAGAAATACAGTTTCTTTTACATCAACTTAATGGTATGTAATTGTTTAATATCACATTTTACTAAACGTTTTGAGTAAATATATCCACATTCATCCACATTAATTCCTATCTGTCGGTAAGATTTTGGATAAATTAGTTTGTTAATTATATACAGACCAGTTATTTTGCGGCTGACGTATTCACCACAGCCTTTATGTATTTTCGGCATAAATTTGCGTGTGTTCAAATGCGTTTTCTCTTCCCAAAACGATGATAATGTAACTAAATGAAAATAAATTTCCTTCTCTATCCTGTGGAGATAATAAAGCAAAATGAAAAAGTTGTCTAATTTTCGGTTGTATTTATTCTCAAGGGATACTTAGAATATTCAAAGTGGAAATTGTTAAAAATATTGATTTATTGTGTTTATTTTCTTTACAAGCTTCACTGATCTGTTAGTGTTATGTGTATGGTTAATAATGGTCAATCTGAAACACCTAATGATGAATGGACTATGCGGTAAACTATTGACACTCTATGGTGTAATATATATATATATATATATATATATATACAACAGACAAAGTGATGAATATTATGATATAGTATATCCAATGAAAAAACATTTTTACACATTTGAAATCATCAATCAATCATTGTTAGACCAACATTAGAAACCTGGAAGCAGTGGACGGCCGTTTCGTCCTGGTATGGGACTCATCAGCAGTGCGTATCAACGACTCCCGAACCTCGCAGGAATCGAACCCGGGACCTTGTGTATTGTGCGCGAAAGCCTAACACCGTTGGATGCCGGCCCAGTAGTCCGATGGTTAGGCGTTCGCACACAATAATGAAGAATGATTTAGCCATTTTTTTCAATTTCAAGCGTATAAATGTAATACACAAATTAGCAATGTCACGACGGTGGATGTTGATTGTATTTTTTTTTCAAGAAACGAATAGAACAGTAGACAGACGATAGATATCTTGCATTACGGGGTTGTAAAGATTGTTAAGTTACAAATTTGAAATCCTGAATCGATCAGTGTTGACCACCATTAGAAACCTGAAAGCACTGGAAGGCCGTTTCGTCCGAAGGTCCTGGTTTCGAACCCTGCGAGGTGCACGAGTCGTGGGTGTGCACTGCTGATGAGTCCCATTCCAGGAAAAAATGGACATCCACTGTTTTCAGGTTTATAATGGTGGTCTAACACTGATCGATTCATGATTTGAAATGTATATTCACGGTTAATTAATCTATGAAATGCGCAATTTTGTTTTAAAGCATAATTGGTGAGGAAATCGACATTTAATCTAGCTGTGTATGAGATCATTTTAGTTAAATAACCTCATTTAGACCAACTTATCTTCGCATTTTCAAACTAATAACATTAAATGCGAATACCATAATCTTTTTATATCGTCACACGTGTTTCACCGACTCTTAAATCTGTCATGCATCAGATACTTAAAGAATAAAGTTTCATTCATATTGGTAAATCCTCCTGAATATAAACTACTCTCGAATCTGTACGTCTACTTTTGTGGTGATTTAAACGAATAGTTTTAGAAAAATTTTACCATATGACCATTAAACAGCGCGTTCGATATAAATCAGGCTTGTAAAATAACTATGTCACTAAAATTGGATTGTTCCAATTTAAACCCAGGATTTTGTCCCTAATCCTGGTTGGAAAAAACGATGATCGATAATATCTTTGAGTAAAACTTATACACATATGTTCAAATTCCAGTTTCGAAATATTCTCCCACTCAATGATTCACACCCATACTAGTAATATTATCAAAACTTAAACATTCGCCCAATAAAACATTGTATTCGAACTGTGATTATCCCTTTTTTACACGATTTCGGAAATCAGTGTACAATAAAACTTACGAATGTAAGTTATAATTGATATAATGTACGTTTTTATTTAGAAAAATAATGTATATTAGCCGAATATTGATTGAAAATGTTATTTGTCGAATAAGTAAATAGCAAACGATCGATAACAGACAATATACATTCTTCATGCAGTAAAATGTTACTGAATAACATGGAGATACAATGATCTTAAAGTGAAATTATTCTAACTAACAGGTTGACAGAAATCATTTTCGTTTACAGTTTGTTGGTAATTCTGCGGTTTTCATATATTTATTTTCAACAAATATTTCAACAGATCAACTCCGCCTTTTCATTGTTCTATCAAAATTTATATAAGCGACTAATCACTTTCAAAATATTCTTATCTGAATTAACTGGATAAGTTAAGGATAGGATAAGAAATCTAAGTCAAAACGCTTTACCTTATTGTGAATATGTTAAAGCCTGTGATTTCCAATAGAGGATAGGCCGCTGACCTGCATTCCCCAATCTACTCTATCCTGAGCCTCCCTTTCCAGTTCTGTCCAGTTTCTGCTCATTGTTTTCATGTCTGTCTCCATTTCTCGGCGTAATGTATTCCTTGGCCTTCCTTATTTCCTTTGTCCTTGTGGGTTCCAGGTGGGGCATGTCTTGTGACGCAGATAAGTGCTTTCCACAATGTGTCTCGTATCTACTTCCAGCGCTTCTTCCTGATGTCCTTCTCCGCTGGAATCTGGTTTGTTATTTTCCACAATAGGTTGTTCCTACTGGTGTCTGTCGTTTATTGGGAAGATAAGTAAATGAAAAATAAGTGTTACAATATCTTCAGCCCTTGGAATAATTGACAATCCACCATACACAGAAAGCTTTTTAAACGAATAGTATACATTCTTGAATAGTAGTTGTTTTATACAACTAAATATTTCTTTTTTACGGTTGAATGCATTGATTGTGAATAATAGTTTTCTAAATATTTCATTCAATTTTTGTTGAATTGCTCTTCATAAAAAAAATTTAAGTCATTCACTAAGTTTGAATTTTATAATATTTCTTGGTGGGCTATCAGAATGAAAGTTTGTCGGTTGTATTGAATTACTTGTGGTAGATCTTTTGGGAATTTAGTAAACCGACATTAGTTTAAACTTATGAAAATAAAACATTCAAATAAAATAAAGAAGCTACCGTAGGGAATTATTTGAAAGACATTTCCTCCATACTATTTACCAGTGATCATGGTAACCAGTCACTTTCATGAATAGATACACTGTCGAGCTGTGTTCGTGATTCATACAAGTTGAAACTTTCATTTATTTTAAGGTAGACGGTGTACGTGATGACGAGTCACTCAGATTAGTGGTCACAATTCAACTCAGTCAGTAGAATTCAGTCTTTAAACAACTTGACGAGCATGACATTAGTCGCCACTCAGTTGTATAAACAGTTATTGTTGTAAGTTAGTTATAGTCTCATGATATGATTGACGTACTTACTTATCAGCTATAGATTTTAATAATTAAACGAAAAAAAACTGCATGACAAAACTTTTATCACTAGTTCCTACTAAAACACTCTCAATATTCTATCGAGTCTAGCAAAGTTCCCATGAGATTTATTGTACCTCAAAAGATTGTGTTGAATCAGTTCTCGAGCCCTGTACTTAATTGGTTGATAAGCTTGGTAATTCTAACCCAACAGTGAACAAAAATGTGTAATAAATGAACTCAAATTTCTATCGAAAAAAAATTTATGCTACTCGATGAGTAAATATCAGTCAATTTAGAATCATAAAGCACGTTCATTTTTTTTAACGAAATTACTGAGTGTGAACTTAACAAAATACTCAAAATAGTCTTTTGTCCATGATACCTCAAATGAAGTAACTAATGTAGTTAGAGGTGTTTGAAATAGGTTGCTGCCTACTAAACCATGTGGTTTTGACTTGGAAGCAACTGACAAGAATTCTACAGTTGAACCGATTTATAAATGTGTTGAGACGTTAGCAAATGCAGATATCCGAGTTTTTCTAGTAAACTCATTTTCTAATGATAACAATATTACGAGATTCAAAGAATTTACTTTCAAGCTTTACTTTTGTTTACATGAGTATTTGAGGTTTAATTTTGTGAACAAATATAAAGGGTGGGTATATTTGATAGCTTGTTCTAGTTTAATTTCTGGTCATATAGTGTGGATGATAAAAGAACATGACCACGTAACTTCCACAGGAAGTTCACAAACTAGTATGCCGTTGATACCATAATCCACATATTTTGGTGAATTCAAATGATATTTTCCATAAATGTGCGCATTCATCAAACTTGTGTAGTCTTTTCCTATTTACAGTCATACTTAATTACCTACAAGGTGTATTATTTTTACTAGTTTTGAATTAGAAGGTAAATTTTTAAATGACGTTTTAAATTGATTTCATCTTAATATTATCCAGTCGAGTTAGTCGTGCAACCAGCCTTACAGTTCACATTATTGATCTCTAAAGTTGATTAACACGTCTTGTAGTTATGATGTAACTTAATTCCTGCCAGTTACATGGTAATAATATTTAATCTAATAATACAAGTAGACCATGGCTAGCGGATTAAATATAACCTGTATAAATAAGACATCTAACAATTACTGATAGTTTCACTATCGAATCTTTCCTGTTTTACCATAGAAGGTTATTTATGATTTTATTCTGTGTTTAAGTGAAAACAAAAAACATTATTCAAGTGGATAAAACTACTCATCTCTAAATACATATATTCTGTTTTGTGACATCGCCTTATTAGTTGAACACATTGAACATTGTTGATATTGTGATGGTTTAATGGAACTAATTTTCTTAAATCAAACAAATTAAGCTGAAAATATTGATTTGAACATTTTTTCTTAATGTCTGAATAATGAAATAAAACAAATATTGTAATTCAGGGGATTCACAATTCGATTTGATTATACTTTATATTGATAGTTGAATCATGTCGGTT